CTTCCCCGCGGCCCCCCTGCCTGTGGCAGCTCCGCGGGGCCACGTTCAGGCTGTGCCAGGAGCGAAGAGGGGGACACACGCACCGACTGCCGCCCCTAGACCGCCACGGCACTGTCATGTGCAAGCGCACTGGTGCTGCGCCCCACTGGGACCTCCTTGTCCCTGTGCATCCGTCAGCATGTCTCGGGATGTCCCCCGCGTGCCGACGTGGGCAGGCACTGGTGACACTGGTTGCGCTGCACATTCCTCTGGCCCTTCCCAGCCGGGAGCCGCCCGGCAATCCCAGCACTGCTCCCGGGCCTGGAGTGGAGCCAGGCGGCCGGTGTGGTTTCTGACAGCGGTGTCCCCGGCAGCAGCTGGTGGTGGGAGTCCTCTTGGTGCGGTCCCCGGCACCGTGGCTCAGCCCTCCGGATGACGGCAGTGCATCCGGATGCATCGCTGGATCGCTGTGCCCACCCTGGGTCTTGCAGGAGGCCCCAGCAGGTCCCTGCTGCCGCCTGCATCTGCGGCCCCCATGGAGCGCCCCCCAGCCCCCGTCTGCCCTGAGCAGTGAGCAGGGCAGGACCCGGGGCCGGGCAGCCCCAACATGCCCATCCCAGCCCCTCACTCCGGCCCCATCCTGGCATGGGGTGCGAATGCCCATAGCACAGGGGGCTGCAGGCGGCACGAGGACTGGCGCACAGGGCCTGCCCTGCTGCTGGCACTGCCTCCGACCACACGCGAGCTCCCACAGCAGAGGTCTCTCACCGGGATCCACTGGGACCGTCCTGTCCAGTCCCTGCCTCCCCCTCCCACGGGTTTCTTGCGTCTCCTGCCCAATAATTAAAGCTGGGCATCGCCCCTCAGCGCTGGCGGTTCTTCTGGCTCGGGCTGCCATTCCCACGCTGATACGGGGCTGCTCCTCCCATGGCTTCCTCCCTGCATCTCCTCCCGCCACCCTTCTGCCTCGGCCCCCTCTCCTCCTCCTGCCCATGTGTCCAGCTGCCATCCCCACATCGCTCCCCAGGCTACTCCTCGCGCTGCAGCTCCCAACCGCCCGACCAGCCACCGCTGCTGGCCACTGAGGAGACTCCCAGCCCCAGGCGAAAAGAGAATGTGTGGGTTAGGCTGCCCGTGCTGGTTCAGATGTGGATGCACGGGCTGAACCTCGCACCACTGCTAATTGCGGCAGCCACATCTGTCCTGCACCCTTCAGCAAGTGGCCAAAAGCTGCAAATGCAAAACAGTGCAGGCAGGTGAAGCAGGAGAGCATCAGGGCAGGAGCCTAAGACAGCCCAGCACAGCCCAGCACGGCCCAGCACTTCCCAGCATGGTCCAGCACTGCCCAGCATAGCCCAGCATGGCCCACCAAAGCCCAACACTGCCCAGCACTGCCTGGCGCTCTCCCTGCAGCGAGCACTGACACGGTGTGGGGCAGGAGGCTGCAGGTCTCCCCGCTTGCGCCCCTTAGGTGCTGCAACACCAGCCCCCTCAGCCCCAGCTCCCCGGCGCTGCAGCCTGGCTGTGAGCGCTGGAGGCAGCGCCAGGCACAGGCCAGCCGCTCGGCCCCTCCCTGCTGGGGAAAG